GAAATATTTAAGTCACAATGAAAAGTACTATTAGAGAATTATTCTTTTGTTATTAAAAGAATGACCTAATTTGAAATTTGAAATTTAAAATTAATGAGGTACCTAAATACAATGCATGCCCTTAACAAATCACATAGAGAGAAAGATCAACTTCTCTCTAACTAAACATTAATCCCCAGCCAACCAAGCATGGCCACATCTCCATCCCTCCAGCAACCCCCCCCCCCGCCCCCCCCGCCCCAAAAGTCATCGGAACCTCCAGATATGCCACAAATGTTATCAACCAATGTTATGGAAGAAGACAAATCTGAACCAATCTCCTTCAAAGAAGTCCTACTGGACAAGAATCTTGTGTCCTCGACAAGCTATGACCTGCCACAATCCAGTGGCCTTACGCAAGCTTTCGAACTAAATCCGGGAAACATACCGATCCCTCTGTCTATCGAAGACAAAATTAGACTCTATAAACCTTGAAAACATTCCTTGATCATCAAATTGTTTGGGGAAAAAATCTCACACCACCTATTCAAGGCCAAGCTCTCCAGCCTATGGAAACTAGAAGAACCCCTTACCCTAATTGATCTAGGATGGGAGTTCTTCATCGCAAAATTCAACACAGAGAAGAGCATGAGTAAGGTTCTAAGTGAGGGCCCTTGGTTTGTGGCAGGGCACTTCCTGTCATTCCGTAGATGGGAGCCAAATTTTTTTCCGAACGGCAATTTGGATCGAACTCCCACAACTACCAACGAAATTCTATGACACAGCCATTCTGGAACAAGTAGGCAATAGAGTGGGAAAGCTCCTGAAGATTGATACCTACACTTCCTCCACCCTAAGAGGAAGATATGCTAGAATTTGTGTCCAAGTTCCTGTAGATATCCCGGTGACAACAAAGGTCATTATCGGCACCCACAACTAGGCACTAGTTTACGAAGGGGAAGGGATTTTTTGTACGGGGTGTGTGAGAATTGGCCATACCCTGAGAAGCTGCAAATTCCGAACGTCAGTCACTCAAGGAGAGTTCACCGGCGGCACCAACGGCGAGGACAACCCAAAGGAGCGGATCTCTAAATGGCGCACGGTCACTTTCTCAAAACACAGACGCCAAACCGGCAAGGCCACCCTAAGCAACTTCCGGGTAAAGAGGTTTGATGCCTCCTCAGGTAAGTTCCTCGACCCAAAACAAATTTCAAGGTTAGATTCCGGTAATCAGAACCCTAAGCACAAATGTTCAGTAGATGCCCTAGGGGCCAATGGACTACAACTCCACAAAGCCCAATTACATATAATATGGGGCCCACTAGGCACTCTTACAATGATGCCAAATTCGGGCTTCAGAGGCCACAAAATTTGGGCTTCAGTGGCTCATATCCTCTACAACCCACAAGTCAAACACACGCCAGCCTAATCTCTCGAATCTCTGGGCTAAAAAGGCACTTCGATGCTAATGCAACGTTGACCAAAGATTCCTCCCCTGGGATTAAAGGCGCGTGTAATGGTAAAGGAAAAAAGGTGGGTCAGAATCAAGGGGAAGAGATGGACCCCACCTGCAATTTGGCTAATGCCTCCCCCCCCCCCCCCCC